CAGGCTGGGGGGGCACAGGGAGTGAGTTGCAGGGGTGTCACCACGTCTCACAGATCCTCTGATGTGAGGATGAGGGGGTGTGTGGGTGAGGGGTCTGAGGCAGGAGAGCACCAGGCTGGGGGTCTCTGGTGTCCCATAGCAGAGTGGAGCACCTGCACAGTCCTGTCTGTGTGCTCTTGGCTGCCTCCTGCTCTCAAACCAGTAAGGGCTGCCACTGGAACCAGTGGGGTTGTCCCGTTGTTAACCAGTCAGGCTTTCCCTGTGTAAGAGGAGGATTTGATTCCCAACACCCTGTCCTTGCTGCACCGCAGTGCCCAGCCCTGCACCTCCTCCACCTTGCTGAGCCTGACCCCTCCACACCACTGTCCTGTGTCCCCTTGTTCCCAGCCCAGCGTGGGCAGGTGTTGGCACTGCCCTGCTTCAGCCAGAACCAGGGGCAAATCATCACTGCCCCCCCCTAAAATCAGCACAGCTCCCCAAAAACCAGCCCCTCACATTCTCAGCTGAATCAGGGATGACCTGCAGGGGTGGGAGAAGATCCTGGCAATCAAGATGGGTCCTGGACATCAGATGCTTGTTGGTGGCTGGGCAAAGCAGCTTCCCTGCTCTAGGGAAGCCCATGGTGTGACCTCCTGGCAGCAGTGCCACCAGCAAACAGGGGGCAGGAAACCTGACCCTTTGCACCAAAACGTTTCATTCATCACACTCCAGACACACTGAGCAAAGCAACGCAAAGCCCTGAGCTGTGAAAGCTCCTGCAGCAAAGGGGAAGGGGAGAGAGAGCAAAGGGGTGTAAGAACAGTTTGTAGAAACGTCCAAGGATGGCTCTGATTTGATCCCAGCAGAAAAAAAAGGAAAGGTGTTTAATTTGTGCCAGGCAAGAATTCACTATGAAGCCCTGGTCCAGCTCATCCAGCCCTTGGTTTGATGGGATGTTCAGACAAGTTTGTCAGCTGGAAATCAAAGCCAGGCTTTTTACTGTGTTTGTAACATTGGCCAGCAAGAGAATTCACTGTGGTGCCCTTCCTTCAGGAAGATTCTGGTGCCTGAGCATCATTTCGACAGCGCCACGACGGTGTCGGGCTCTGAGCAAAACAAGGTTTGCAGGAGAGGGAACATGTTTCATCAGCCTGGCTGCTGCTGTTGGGAACTGTGGCTCAGCCTTCAGGCTGGAGAGGCTTGGGTGTTGGAAACTTATCTAATAAAATATATTACCTGTCTCTGGAGCCCTTGGGTGGGTAACATTGGGTCCCAGCTGGGTGAGGCAGCTGTCCTGAGGTGTCCCTGTGGACAGACAGTCCCAGTGTCCCAGCCCTGTCCCACTGGGTGCTGCTGGACTTCCTCCTCCCACCACCTCCCAGCTCATCACTCAGACCCTCCTGGCTGCATCCAGCCTTCAGTTCCATGGGCCCAAACCTGCAATGATTGGGGCAAAACTCCCAGTTTTCACTAAAGACTCGGAGAATTTGGCTTCCCCCTCCTTTGGGCACTCAGATAGAACCTAGAAATGTGAGGGCTTCAGTTTGGAGAGGATGTGGAGAGGAACTTGGCACCAGAACCATGCCTGGGTGATGAATGAAACGTGATGTGGGGTGACAGGCAAAGCCAGTGTGCAGTGTAGGTCTTATCTGGTCATTGGAGCTCCGTGGTCCTCAGAGAGTGAGGCTTGATTTTGGGAACAGATGGCTCAGTGCATTCAATGGGAAATCTGGAAGCTCTGGGCCCTGATATGTTTTACCTGCTTCGTGCTATTTGTTTTCTGCACAAGGAGTTTCCACTCAGTTGCTGGGCCAAGCACTTTTATTCACCTGGAGAAGATCAGCACGAAGAATGAGATGGGGTTGTCAGGCTGAGCTCCCTGCAGACTCCTTGGAGCTCTGCTGCTGGGATGGATCCAGTTCTCTCCCAGGCACATTAATCCTGGTTAGGCTCTGATTTGAGGGGAGAAAAGCTCTCTCTTAGGAAAAAAAATCATCCTGCATCTCCCCAGCTCTCTGTAATCCAGTCAAATAAAAGAGATTTTTGTCTCCTAATGAGGTGCTAGATCACCTTTGAATCTTTTTCTTTCCTTCCTTCCCCTTTTTTCTCAGTGCTTCACCATCACTCCTGCCAGGGTGTCATTATGGAGATTAAAATGAGTAAACAAGGTCTTGCATAATGATGAAGACATTGTCAATAGGAGGGGTGAGAATGAAGAGCAGGATCAGCTCTGAGTATTTCATCAAGTGATGCTTCTTTAGAGTCCCCCTTGGGGGAGGAGGCAGCTGGCAGCAGGATGGGGCCTTTGGGTGGGGTTTGTACCTGGTCGTGGGGCATGATTAGGCTTTGATGTCCTTCTCCAGCTTCTACCTTCTCTGTGCTGTTGTGCTTTCCTGTTGGGGAGGTGCTGTGGCAGCCAGCTCCCCTCCCCTCCTGCTCTAAGAGGCTGAGGTGGGTGCTGCAGTGCCCCCCTACACCGTGTTCCCTCTTCCAGCCCCAGTGCTGTGCTGATGGGAACCGATTCATGTCCCCAAGCCACCCCTTTCTTTCCCAAGCAATATATGGAACACCACGTTGCTTCACAGCATCAGGGGGTGCTCTGTCACCTCTCCAGTCCCCTCCACTGCCAGGGCTTGGACCACAGCTTTCTGGAAACCCTTCTCTGAGGTCAAGTTTGGGAGGTATTTAGTCATCTCCATGTGCAGATGCTGGAGCTCAGTGGTTCCTCAGGCTGTGCTGGGGGTTGGCTGTGCTGTGTGAGCAGGGCACCCCGGCCATGCCTGCAGGCAGGCCTTGAGGGTGAGCATCTGGAGTGGCCCAGTGCACAGTGCTTTTTATAGCTTGTTGGAACTGCTTTCCAAGCCCCAGAACAGGCTTGTTCAGAAATAAAAGGGCCTTGAGCTGCTTCCCTCCTGGGCTGCCTGCACAGGGATGTTGGGCAGTTTTGCTGCTGCACTGGAGTGTCCCCTCTCCCAGGTGAGTCAGCTCTCCCCACAGGGCTGGTGAGTGTTGCACTGGGTTGAATGTGCTGCTCACAGAGCTCCTTACTGCTAATTAGCCCAGGGTGTTGCTTTTTCTCTCGATTAGGCAGGGGGCTGGGAGCTGCTTGTCCACAGCCCATGGCCAGGTGATCTTCGTCTGCTGCAGGATGGGGTTGAATGTTGGTCTGTGGTGGGCAGGGCTGATCCTCCTTGGAGCAGTCAGAGGCTCAGATGTGTCTTGGCAGTGTGAGGGCATCGTTGGAGCTGATGGGATGGAGGTAGGGAGCTTGGGGGGTCCTGGGGAGGTGCTGTGTCTTGCCCAGGAGCCTGTCTGGGTAGGACAAGCCTGGCCATGCCACACTGGGACAGTAGGGACCTGCCCTAGGAGCTTCTCTAGCAGGTCTCCCCAGGGAAGCCCAGTCCTGCTTGGGCTGCTTGTCACTGTACTTCAGCTCTCAACATCTCCTGTAGCTAACGAGTGCTTTGAAGCAACTTACTTTATTTGCCAGTGCTTTCTAGCAACAGATAATTGCAGGGCTGATGTGCTGCAGCCCAGGCTCAGTGGTTGGCTCCTAATCCTCTGACTTTGAACTACACAGTAATGATGAGATGGAGGGCTGTGGCATTCCCTTGCCAGCCTTTTTCTGGAAATGCCTGTTTTTTGGGGGGGTGGCTGCCCTGTGTTCCTGTGTGGGGCTCCTGAGCCTTGTGGGTGAAGCTGTGAGCTTGTAAAGGGGGTTTCTGGTCCCTGCCCTCAGTGGCTGACTTCCCTTCAGCTGGGGGATGCTGAGAGGCAGAACTACCTGTGGGTACCCCAAAGGGGTTGTTCATCTCTCTGTCCTAAGTAGGATTTCTTTATTTGAAGACCACCCTGTTGTCTCACAAGGCAGTTGTCTTTTCTCCTTGCCCTCCTTGATTTTTTCCTGGGGTTTGTCCAGCTGAGACCCAGGATATGGCTGTGGCTGGGGAGCTGTTGGGCTGGGCACCAGCAGCAGCTCTGCTGGGGCTTTGCCCGTGTCTGTTGGAGGATCCTGAGCCTCCATGGAGACTTGGAGGCAGCAGCAGCATCTCTGAGCCATGGACAGAGGCCAGGCATCCGTCCCTGGCCTTGTGCTCCGGGGACACAACAGCCCTCCTGCCTGCAGAGCTCCTGCCTTCTGCCTTTTCATCCCCAGGAATGGGACTGGCCTGGATTTGGCTGGAACAGGAGCAGTGCTGAGTGCTCCCCCCTCTCTCACAGCCAGAGCTGACCACGAGCTTGGCTGGGAGTGCCATGCAACTTGGCATCCTGCTCAGTGTGTCCCCGTGGGAGCTGCTTTCCTGCTGCCCATCCCGTGCTCTGGAGGATCAAAGCAGTGATGGGACAGTCCCAGGTCCCCAGGGGTCCCTCCCTGTCCTGCAGTGCTGGACACAGTGGCAGAAACTGGTGGCCTAATTACAGGGGAACAAAAGACCTTTTTCTTTTGCGGAGGGGGGTGTGGAAATAAAGTAAAAGGATTTTTTAGATCCTTTGGGAGGAAGGGAAGGTACAAGGTCTTTTTTTTTTTCTCTGGAGGGGTATGGGAATTGTCTGCTGTAGTGGTTCCTGTGGTCTGTGGGGGCTGCTGGGTCTAGTGGAGGGTCACAGGGGCAGTTGTGGTCTGGCTCAGCTTTCCCAGCCCTTTGCTCCCTCTCAAGCTCTGCCCATCAGGGCAGGCTGGGGACACAGCAGAGGGTGTTGTCAGGCACAACCCACCTGCTCCGTGCCAGGGTTTGGGCAGAAGCACCTCAGGGCTCTTTGGAAAACTGGTGTGGGTCTGGCTGTGATTGGGATAGGGTACTGGTGTGCTCTGGTGGGGCTGGGGCAGCAGGGCTGGAGAGGGTGAACTGTGGGGATGGAGCTGCTGGGAAGGGGGCAGGGATGGTCTTGGCTTCCAGACGTCCCCCCAGAAAGCAGCTGGTGCTGCTGTGCAGAGGGGATACCCGGGGGGGGGCGGGGGGTGAAGGATGGTGGGGCTTTCCTCATCCCACATCACTACAGCTTTGCTTTCCCTCCTGCAGGATTTTCGTGCTAGGCATTGGATTTTTCACCCTGTGCTTCCTGATGACATCCCTGGGAGGGCAGTTCTCAGCCAGGCGCCCGGGGGACTCGCCCTTCACCATCCGCACCGAAGGTGAGTGTGGCTCCCTGGCCCCCCCTGGGATGCTCCC